GGCCTATATTAGAGAATTTACGGTAATAATAGATTCTGACTTTTTTCATTTAGTGGAGGAATAATAATGAACACAGTCAGATAAACACAAATAAAATGAACAGACAGACGGGCTAACGTTAGCCCTGGTCGCTGCAGACGGGCTAACGATAGCCCTGGCCGCTGCAGACGGGCTAACGTTAGCCCTGGCCGCTGCAGACGGGCTAACGTTAGCACTGGTCGCTGCAGACGGGCTAACGTTAGCACTGGTCGCTGCAGACGGGCTAACGTTAGCCCTGGCCGCTGCAGACGGGCTAACATTAGCACTGGCCGCTGCAGACAGGGTTAGGAAAACAGAAATCTGTGAATCTGTGTTTGATTACTCTGTGGCAAATAAATAATGATAATAAAGCAACTCAACGCTATTTCTGACATTTGGAATTGAAAAGTTTTCTTGGTTGGAGGGGAACGTCTTCAAATTTGGAAACAAAGTCCAGTGGATTGACTCTGACCTGGATGACTGAGAATCTTCATCAGCAATAATAATAAATAAATAGAGAAACTGAATTTTTAACACATCATACATTTTCAAAGCAATTATTTTAGCTTCCATTTAGTAAATTCATTAAAACTAATTCAGTTCATTTTAAACTCCATGAAAACTGATTCAGTCTGAGCTTTTCTTATTCAGTTTCTGCTCTATTGTTATTTATTGTTGTGTCACCATGGCTACAGTGTTTGTCTGAGCTTCAGTTAACACACTAATACATCTCAGCAAATAATGATAAACCAACTGCGATTATATACAATGTCGACTCGATAAACTCTGAACTTTGTCCATTATCAGAAAACGCTTGATTGAACTTTTCCCTCTTCTGTCCTGCAGGCTGTGAAGTCCCGAACCGGGCCGGGCGAGTACCTGAGGAACGCTCTGTGGCACACTGGGGACACACCTGGAGAGGTGAAGATGCTCTGGAAGGACCCCCGAAACATCGGCTGGAAGGACAGAACCTCGTACCGCTGGCAGCTGAGCCACCGGCCGCAGGTGGGATACATCAGGTGAGACGGACAACGTCGTTCAAGAAAAAACGTATAATAT